AACACAATTTAAATTTTCTTCGTATATTATTCACTATCTTCGGATATTTTTTAATTTGTTATATTCACTTAATAAGGTAATAATTAATAATTGATCAAACACATTAAATGTTTATATAATGCGGCATATATTTTATTCGTAAAACGAATTACAATGCCTTTTAAAATCATAGCAAATAAATAAAATCGTTCACGTAATATTGCATTACAATTATTCATGTAAAATTAAATCAAGGTACGTATGTGGTTTTGTGTAATACATAGATGGTAGTGTGTGTAACGTTTTCATGATAATTAAGTATATATGTATAAAAAAAGTCTCACTTTTCTTCATCAGTGTCAAATAACTATAACTTGACTTTAATATTCACGAGGTGAATTGAAATCACTTGATACGTATAAATATAAAAAGTTATCGTGCCAAGGTTACACATGCAAAACCATTTCGAATATTGCTGTCAACCTATGTTTGTTAATATTAGATACATTGTTTTATTGTTAATTAGTTTTCTTTATGATTTTTAAAGATGATTCTTTGTGATTTTTATCATTAAAAAAGCAAGTCAAATTATATTGAAATATTAAAGATTGCAGGGGATGAAAAAGAACGAATTTGCGGCTTTTACAGGTCCCTTTGAATTTGAAACGATAATAGATCGTTAATATCTTAAAGGAAAATGAACGATGGAAAAATTATTACAGGTCAAGTTCGTGCTCTTTGAATTGAAGCGTATTTCTTTTTTTTATTTTTTCTTTTTTCGTGGTTTATCTTGTGGTGCCGGTAGATTTTCTTGTTTCCGTTTCGACGCAGGTTTTGCTCCAATACTGCCACCTTTTTTCCTTCTTTCTTGTCTCTCTCGTTCTTCCAACTCTTGATTTTCACGTTCGATCAACGTGATCAATGTATTGCATCGCCGTTGTAATTCTAAAGCTGTGCGCGATTTCACAAACCAATCAAAACGAAATTGTGGCGCCGATCTGACTGTGGCACGAAGCTCCTCATACACGTTTTCTTTATCAAAGCCCAGTTTATGTAACATACACACGAGAAATCGATCTTCTTCCTCAGTATAATTCTTACCTTTATTTGTTCCATATGCTATCCTCAATTGATGAAAGGGAGCACGGTACCTTGCCATTTTGGCATCCAAAGCTTTTTTGATTCCGGCTCTTCTCTGTATTTTTGCTTCTCCTCGTTCAATTTGAGCCATTACTCTGTCTATATCTTGTAATTCATGACAACGTTCCCAAAAAACGGCTGAGTATTCCATGACTTCTTCAGGAGTTTTTCCTTCTACTTCCTTAGCTATATTCTCAATATCATCTCGACCATATTTTTCATTGGCTTTTATGAATTGATTAAAGTCTCTTTTTGTCCAATTCGTGAACCCTTGAGTCAGCAATTTCTCTTTTTCTGCAACCTCGTCGTCGGTTAAAGGTTGAGCTTCATCTATTTTACGTTGCTCTTCCTTTTGAATTCTGGCAGCATCCGATCCAAGCTCTGGATTCTTTGGAACTTTATATCCAACTGTTTGTCGAAAGTAATATATCTCCTGATCAAGTAATTCGAATAATCGTGGCGGGAAAAACTGGAAATCTTGAACAATTGGTTGCTTTGGAGGTCTAGGGGCTTTTGGAGCTTTTGGTTCTGAAACTCTAAGAGCTTCTCTGAAATATGCATCAACTGCGTAATTGGCTTTACGCTCGCGTTTTGGCGGTTCTATCCAATTCCCTATACCAAGAATTTTTTGTTTTTCGCGATAATCCTCACCTTCAAACTGATAGACAGAATCCGTTGGTGCGTCTACGGTAAAGTTACGCAAAGATGATTCACCTAAACTTTCTAATTTCTGTTTCATCTCCTCGGTTCTAGCTTCACCTTTTTGAAGAATGGTATCTATATCTTCATCTGTAATAGCACTGTCTTTAGATGCAAATACTTCGTTTGCGCCATGCCTGATCATGTTTAACATTTCATCTTTATTCAATGCTGTTTGCTTCGCATCCACTAATCGTCCTTGTTGAATAACTAACTTATCTAAACGTAATTTAACTTCCGCACGTTCCACTATCTTTTCTTCTACAGTATTTTCTGTGATAAACCTAAATACACGAACTTGTTTTTGTTGACCTATGCGATGAGCTCTATCCATCGCTTGTAGATCCATTTGTGGATTCCAATCAGAATCATAAATAATAACTACATCTGCCGTTGCTAAATTAATACCTAAACCACCGGCACGAGTTGACAACATAAAAATGAATTTCTCACTTCCCGGTGCGTTGTATTCGTTAATTTGACGCTGTCTATCTTCATGTGCTGTATTACCATCTAAACGACAATATTGAAAACCTCTCCAGTGACAATAATCTTCTAAAATATCTAACATTCTGGTCATTTGACTAAATATGAGAACTCGTGATTCTTGTTGCTGTAATTTTGGCAACAATTTATCCAAGATTACCATTTTACCACAATTATAAACAAGATGTTCATCAGTTGTATAAGGAGGTCCAGGTTCTGCACCATCAAATAAATATGGATGATTACAACATTTGCGTAGCTGCATTAAAATATTTTGCAATCTCATTTTTTCAATCTTCCCTGCACCATTGACTATATCTATATCTTTCATAAGTACCTTGGTATACCATTCTCTTTGCATTTTACTAAGACCAATGTATACTTTAATTTCTTTTTTAGGTTTGAGTCCTTTCTCTACTTCAGATTTCAAGCGTCTTAAAAGGAATGGTCGAAGGACAGCGTGTAATCTTTCAACTAAAGAGTTATCACCTAAGAAACTATTAGTATTAAACCAAGAATCAAAATCATCTGAACTATTAAATACATCTGGTAATAAAAAATTGAGCAAGGACCATAGTTCATGAAGATTATTTTGTAAAGGTGTTCCTGTTAATAGAAGACGATTGGCTGTTTTAAATTCCCTTAAGATTTCTGACAATTTTGATTTTTCATTTTTTATTCTATGAGCTTCATCAATTACCATATAACGCCAATTAAACTTCTTGAATACTGATTTTTCTTTTATAACCATTTCATAAGATGTTACACAAACATCCCATTCCCCAGGCATCATAACTTCTCTAATGAAAGTATTTCGAGTCTCTGCATCTCCAATGAGACACACTGCTCTTAAACTTGGACACCATTTTTTAAATTCATTCATCCAATTTGCCAAAGTAGATTTAGGAACAATGACTATATGTGGGCCAGGAATGTTTCTAAAATGTTTCATATATCCTAGCAATGAAATAGTTTGAAGAGTCTTACCAAGACCCATCTCATCAGCCAAAATTCCATTGATACCATGCTCGTATAATGATATCATCCAATTCAAACCTCTTATTTGATAATCTCGTAACTCACCGGATTTGATGTAGTGTGGCGAAGATTCGAAACGCGTCGTTGGCGCAACATTAGCATTACTTTCAGCCAATAATTCTTCATCTTCTTCTTGTTCTGTTTTACGGTGTCTATGATCACCGGAATCAGTTTTTACTTGATTTTCTGGCTGTTTTCTAGGTCTGCCAGCTTTAACTTTTAATGGACTTCCAGCCTTATCTTTCTGATTGTTTGTCATAAAATGGGAGAATATTTCTGTCTGTTTTAGTAAATAATCAAATCGTTTACTTCGATCAGTTTCTAGTTTTGTTTCAAAATCACCACCTCGGGACGACGTGGTTTCGGCTGAAGATCCATTTGAATTATCTCCCGTATCTCCTGTGTCTGCATTTTCGTCCGGTTTTGACATTTTGATTGTTTTTGACGTACTTTTTATGTGTACAAGTAGAGTTTTAATTAATTTAACATATATTTAAAGATGTGTTTGATTTAACTGAGTATTCGTATATTAGATCCGATCTTTACCGTGATGATCACAAACGCATAACATCAATCACCGCCATAGTGGATCGTGTTATCCCTCCAAAACTACGCTATAAATAACGCCATCTATAAGCATTTGTCGAATACGTCACGTTACGAGAGGGAATATTCAAATATATTTTAAACAAGTATCGCGTATTTTCAAACATATTTATTGATAGAAATTATATTGATAATATATACTATGCTTTTTTCACTCAATGAAAAGTTTCGAAGTAAAATTTGTATATTTGAAATGATAATTAGTTCTTTTTTTTAATAATATATAATTTTTAAAACGTATATTTGTAAATATTTTTTATTCGTTTTTTATTTTCATATTTTTAATATTTTGCATGAAATTAAAAAATATTATGCAATTATTAAAAAAATATAATTATAATAATTTGTTATATTTTTAAATTATAAAAAGAATGATAGTAATATATTTATACTTTAAGATAGAATGGATATCGATAAAAGAAAGAAATATTATTTTTACCAGAAATTGATCACTTTCCATCGATATTGTTTCCTAGACGACAAATTCGCGAACACGTAACAAACAATATACTCGACACGGTATACTACTGTGTATTACTACGTTATCCAAGTTAATCTTAAGCTCGCTTCGTATTGTAGTATTTTGAGAATTTGAATTTGTTTCTTTTCAAAATTTTTGTTCTTAACAGATTGATATTTGTTAGAATTTGAAAAATGTCCCTTGCAGAACAATCAGTTTCAGAACATGAAGTTATTGTACCACCTAATTTGCCACTAATTTTAAAGGAATTTTGTAAAGCGGCTATTCGAACTCAACCGTACGATTTACTTTTATGGTCCAGTTCGTATTTTCGAGCATTGGCCGATGGAGAAGAACCACCTACGAAATTAAGATTGGAATATCCACCACCGAATACAGCTTCCGGTTTGACTCTTGGTTTCCTGAGAATTTTACTTCGACAATTTGGAGGTAATAATCATTTGAATATAAATATTATACAACATTATAGCGATATATATATATATGTATATATTAGTTTTTATCGATTATTTTCGTAATAATATTCGAAGATATTTTATGCTATACATTAAATATTTAAATAATTTTTAGTAAATAGAAATAAAATGTAAATGGAAACATTTTCAATTATAGATAATTGAAATATCTTTTTTTTTATTATTATTATTAAAATTGTATTATCAAAATAATGTTTTTCGAACAGATTATAATAAATTTTTACCTGTGGAAACGATTTTAAGACGATGGGACTGCTTGTGCTTGGATCGTCGGGATTTAAATTTGATTTTAATGATAGGAAAATTTCGACGAAAATGTCAAGTAAAAAAATTTTTGGCAATCGCCGTTGGACTTTTAAGTTCAAGTCTCTTTGAAACAATGCTTATGATTTGTGAATTGTTCACTCATGAACCTGAAGGTGGATCTGCTATGGTTCCTGTTACATTTTTTTTGGAGATATATGGGTATATAATAAATTTATATAATATAAAATATATTAATATTTATAATACTTAATATTATTTCATACATATTTTATTAAATAAATTTATAATTAATAATATTAATATTTATATATTTTTTAGATATCTAGCGGGACTTCGTTGTGATGGAACTGAAAGAGATTCTGCCGATGAAGATCCAACAGAATTTATTATATGGGATTCTGAATATTTAGGAATTCAAGAAAAAAACAAGGAAAAGTTTTTTATAGATCGTGCTTGTTCAGTTACGAGCCAAGATACTGAAGCTGACGTGAATTTAGATTTGGAATTAGTATCAAGAGAAGATATTGATTCTTCAAGAAGTAAATTTATCCAATAATTTTATTCTTATATATGTTTTTCACTTACTTCTACTAGAAAAAATTTTTTTTTTTACAGCTGACATAACACCACAATTGAGCGATAATTATATTAATTACAAAAAAACAATTGAAGATGAAATAAAACAAGACTTGTATAGTAAGAGATCATTAAGAATGGAACCTGAGACTTTTGTTAATGATGCTGAATCAAGCAAAAAAATAGATTTTAATGATGGACAGAAATTAAATAAATGTGAAAATGTATCTGCGAAGAATGCAACTAATAGCAGTACATCAGAAGAGAGTTATAGTAAGAAACATAGTATACGAAGTACAGAAGATAGAAATGCAAGCGAAAAAAGGAAAAAGAAGGCTTTAGATCCAAAAATACTCAAGTACTATCCCAATGTTCCTGGTGAGATAATTAAGAATCATTAATTATAAATGGAATCGTAAAATGATTTTAAATAATTTATGATATTTTATGATTGTTTATAAATTTAACATTTTTTTACATGATTATAATTATATATTATTATAAATTTTTATAAGATACCTATTATAATTCAATATCAGGTATTGGACCTCGGCTATCAGCTGAAGAAGTAGCTAGCGTTGCAATATGGTTGAGTGAATGCGCAAAAATACAGGAAGGTATGGTTGGCCCGCGAAATCTTCGACATATGAATTGTCCTCCTTTAGATAGGCAACAGACATCGGACTCATAATAAAATGTAATATGATATAATTAATATGAATTTGCAAAAGTTTTTAAATATTAAACATAGAACACAAATGAATGCAATAATTACAAACACATCTTATTTTATAAATTAGTTTATATTTTAATTTTAATAATTATTGGATTAGAAGATATTTATAGTTTGAATGAATATTCTTATATATTCATTTTTTTTATCAATGAATATTGAATGTTAGAAAAGTAGTTATATAAATAGAAAAATATAGAAAAATAAGAAATATATTCATTTTACATTTTCTATATTACTTTGTTTAATTTATCATTATATTAAAACATAATTTCAGTTTTTATAATTGTTGTAATATTAACAATCATTAATAATATAAAATGTATTTATGTAAAAGTCAGTTTAATTCTATGTATATATATAGATATATATTAACAAATATGCAAGTATAATATTTTTTTTATTAATAATGCTCATTTAAATTTATATTTTTTTTTTTAGCATTGATGCAATAATAAAATATTGATATCAAAATAAGTAATGATAGAAATAATCCGAAATTTATAGAATATTCTTTCACGAATTTTTTTAGTTTTAAATTAATCATTAAAATATAATTGAATCGATATATTTTAGAAAAATTAACGAATAATTTTTCTAAAGATGCATATAAATAATGTTTAAACAATTCAAAGTAAAATAAAATTTTATTTGAATTATTTACATATTTTATTATTTTAAAAATAAAATAAATACAAATTTTTAAATAAAATGATAATATTCATTATTTCATCGATATGTAATATACGATAAAATACAAAGTAATTCGAAAATTACTTTTTCAAGAAAAATATTTCATATAAAAGTTGCATATACATAATTTGATGTTATTAATTTTAATGCATTAATCGGCGCAATTCATTATTTTATACAAAAAAATATTAATTATTTTCAACAAATATTTTATTATAGTTTTAATTTGAATTATGTAAAGCTTATTGTATGAAAGTTAAGGAAAAGAGCAAAGTATAATATATACATAATACTCTTTTGTTATATTTTATATGTATATATATATATATATATATATATATCACAGGAACATTTTATTTAATTTAAAAATGATATTTAAATATTTACTTGTTCGTATATCATTTTACCTTATAAAATATATAAATTCTTAATCAATTATATTTTTTAAATAAATGTTCTAAAATAAATAATTTTCATTTTGTCTTGTTAAATGTTAATTCTAAATCATGGATGGATTGACGAATAAAATACGTAATAAAATATAAAAATTATTTTGTTAAAATAGTATAAATTTTATGAGAAAATTATCTGTATAAATTTACATAATTCCATGTTCAATAAAAAAAAATTTAGAAGATCAATATATTTTGAATCGTTTTTCTCATTTTTGGATTTGTCTTAGTTTTAAACGAGTAAAATGGGCAGAGCCCGTATTCTGAATAATCTTCGTACTTGATGATAAAAAAAGTGATAGAACGTCGTAATAAGCAATAAAAAAATAAGACATAACAATAAATTTCTGGTCCTTGTTCGATTAGCTCTCCATTCAAGGAGCTTATGTCGATGAGTAAAAAGATTTCGATATTGTAATGGTAATTCGAAAGTACTACGTAATGGATAGAGAGAGCGATAAAAATCGTTCAATAATGCCCGAACTACTTCATTTTCAGCATGTCGAAGAGGATCCATATCATCATTTAAACAAATAAATTTTCTAAAATTTAATAATATTATTTGATAATATCTATTATTAAATCTGTAATTAATGAAATTACCTACTTGGGATCCCTACGTATCTCATCCAAAAGTTGTACTGTTAAAGATACGTTGCTCGTTAACATTTCAAATATTTCATTTTTTCCTGCTTTAATTATCTCATGTTGATAAAGTTTTTCTTCACCAAATTTAGCTTTAACTTTTCTTGAAACTAATTCGCATTTTGCTATCAATTCCTTAGTTACAATTGGCTATAAAAATATAAAATATAAATATTGTAAATAAATAATTTTCCTTTATATTTTAAATATCACTCATAATTAACAAAAAAAATTTACTTACAAGTGATGAATCCAAATATCTTTCTCCTGGTGGCACATTTAGTATCTTAGTAATTTTAATATGATTTGAACAATTCGTTATTGCATTTTCAAAATCAATAACTAAACTATAATCAAGAGGAAGTGGATAAAGTCTAGATAGAAGAGTCCTAATTTCTCGGTCTGACCAAGTGCTGAAAATAATAAATCACGAAAACCGCACAAAATTACTATTTTGAATAATATTTTTATTATTTTTTTGCTCTCTTTCTTTCTCTATTATTACTATTTTATAATAGTATAACTACCCTGATTTATCGGTGTCAAACGTATCAAATATTTCTTCAATTGGTACATTCCGTTTTTCACTCATTAAAAAATAAAAATAGGAAAAAGCAAATTGCATGTCCTCCGAGCTTCTAACTTTATGGTTAGATGTTCTTTTAAATTCATGTTTGAATTTCTTTTGCATATCAGCAGCAATCCATTTATCTATCAGATGAGGCATATGAGCGGGTACTCTTCTACGTTCGAATCCATATGCCATATTATATATTCTATTCACATACAGCAAAGATTCAGCATATGTATCAAGTTGTCTCGTTCTAAGTTTCCATTGATCAGAATGATGTAGTTTATGATTGATTTTTATGGTACTATTAACTTGTGGCAAATTTATGATATCATCATTTAAATAACGTTTCAATAATAAACGTCTTTTAGTTATATTTGATGTCTGAAATTTTACTTTACTCATCATTTTTGATAACATTGATTTTTGAGTAGATACAGTTTGATTATTTTGAATTAATTGTTCATTATAATATTTCTCAATGGAACTTATATAATTATTTTTAAAATTATGAGATTTATTTATATTTAGCTTTAAATTTGTAGTCATATTTGATGATTGGTGAATAAATGTTTCTGTATCATTCCATATAGTACTTATATTTCTGTTTCTTAATATATTTAGAAATTTAAAACCATAATTATTATCATCTAATGAATCTTGTAAAAGTTTGTGTGAATAATCTCCTTCTTCTTCAAGAGTTTCACTATCAGTAGGAACTGGTGTGCTATCACAATCTCCTCCTACAAAAAAAATTTTAAAAATTGAATTAGATTTATATACAAATATGAATATAAATATATATATGTATATTTATATTATTTTATTTTTTAGATTAATTTAATAATTGATATAATTATTATTTAAAAACAAATGTAAACAATGAATGCTACCATCAAATTCACATAATGTTGTATTACAAGCAGGATCACATGATCCATCACCCACCCAAGCCCAAGGACAAACATCCGAACAATCAGGAACCCACCATGCAAGATATATCTTTTGACCATTTGCTTGGGTAATAAAATCTTCTGGCCATACTTCTGCCCCTAACATAACATCATCATTAAAATATAAAAACTTATCTGAAATTCCAGGAATTCTGTAAAAACAAAAATTATGTTAAGCACATTATAAGCAATCTATTAATTATTATAAAATAGATGAATTTGATTACTACCTATGAATATTACTTTCAATAGCTGGACTAGAAAATGTTGGAAGATCACTTTTATTTATAAATATATCTTCATGAGTAACAAGTGTAACTTTAGGATTATCCATATCTAACCAACTTGGTATTTGACCATTTGTAACAATATACACATGTCTTACCCAAGGTGCATATTTTTCCAATGAACGTAATGAATATCTTAATTCATCTTTATCATTAAATCTGGAAGCAGCTGTATTAATATCAGTAATAGGAACATGTTCTTTCAAACTTTTTAAAAAAACTGGATCAGATCCATTGACCCATGTATACACAACATCTATTGGAACATGTTGGCATAGCTTTTTTTGAAAAGAGATACCTAATATATTATCATTAAAAGAATGAAATACTGCTTCATATTTTTCTTTGCTCCAAGTTATCCACATCTGAAATATTTATATTCAATTAAAATTAAAATTCGAAATTTGAAAAACTAAAATATTAAAAATTATAATGTAAAGATTCAAAATTTAAATTAAAATTTAAAATACTACTAACTTGATAATTTTGAAGATAAATTTTAAAATTTAAATTCTTTTAAAAGGATTAACTATTTAACAAAATATATATTGAATAACAATTAATAAAGTAGATTTAACATAAAAACAATAGAGATGATAATACGTTCTCTAACCTCTCCGAAATGAACAATACCAATAAATATACAAGTGAACGCCGTTAATATCACCAATAAAGAATATTTGTATGATAGAAGATCGTAACATCGACGCTGGAGTAATTTCCATGTGCTCATTATATTGATAAAAATTCTGCATGCGATTAACATTGCTAAAACTGTTGTAAGAATTCATATAACACTGTTTACAGCTGATTTTAACCGGTAAAATCTTCGATGCATAATAAATAACCATAGACAAAATAAAGTATAGATTTAATATATAGATATCTAATAGTGAAAAGATTATATATTTGTTATTTATATATTTATTTTAATTTATATATTTTTTATATTAATAAAATTAAAAATTCTTATAAAGATTTTTATAATTTAAAAATGTTCATATTTACAAAAAAGTATACATTTATAGCACCGGGAAATTTGAATGTGAAACAATAATTTTTTGTATTTGCCATTATATTACAATTATTATAAACAAAAAAAAAAGTGAATGAAACACGATTTATTCATCCAATTTTTATTTTATCTAAGTCAAAACATCGGATTATATAAATTAGATTTTAGATTTGCAATCCACAACTATTATCATTGGTTTTACAGTTATCAAAGTTATCAGATGATGGTAAAAATATTTTTTTATATAAAAAATATATTTGTACTTAATTAAAAAATATCTTTAAAATATAATTAGTAAAAAAATTATATTTAGAATAAAATATAATAAATCTTTTTTTATAAGATTAATATATAATTTTAACAAATATAATATCTGATAATTATAATTTAATAATATCTATATACAACATTATAATATATATGTAGTTAACAATTTCCCATAAAATTTCATTTTTATTTTTTATTTTTTTATTTTTAATTGAAGAAATTTAATATTAAAATTGTAAAATATATAATACAAATATTAATAAAAGAGTTATAAGTGATAATTCCGCTATTTGTTTTATCCAGTATAATCTGAAATAAATAAAAATATAATTTTTATTATTTCGAAATATAGAATCTATTTTCTTTATCATATATTTTTTAATATTTTCGTTACTTTTATATGAATATTATTTTACTTACATTACTAGTCGACTTCGACTTGTTAAAGAATGTTTAGATTCAGATAGATTATGTGTATTTAATATTAATACACATTTTTCTATATATTTATCCCAATCTAGATTTTTTATGTCAATAATAAAATTATCACAGTCTTTTAATGTTTTTACATTTTTTTGGAGTTCAATCATATTATCATTTTGAAATTTCAAATCATTGAGAAGAAAATATTTTAACAAATGTAATTTATAATTCATGTGCATTACATATTTCAATATTCTAAAATACAATTTTCACAATAAATTATTATAGAAAAATTATTGTCCAATTATTCATTCAGAAATAATTAAATACTTACCTAATTTTATTACCTAAAAGTTTTGCAAAAACATCATAGGCAAATGCAGGAAGGGTATGCAAAAAGAATATTAAGATCTTGAAAATATATTTGTTATTAACTAGTATAACATTGGGATACCATACCATAGTTTTGAATAGTAATTTTCTTGAAAATTTTATTATACTTGAACTGTATTTATCCCATCTAAAAAATCAAAAAATATTTATATTTATAGAATATTTTGAATATAAATAATATTAAAAATAGATTTTATACAATATTATATTACGGAATATCTCGCAAAATATTGTGTATATCATTTCAATAATTAATGTTATAAAATTTTATGAGATATTCTAATATTTATGTACAAATATAATAAAAATATTTACGTAAGAGAATTCCCATTATTCGTGCAATTATAAATTTTAATGGTATTATCACATTGAAGCGTTGTATGCCACGCAACACATATTATTGTGTCGGTCACATAATCAATAGGCACTATGTTTGCCTTATTATTCTTATTCCCATTGATCACTCTAATGATACCTCTGCATGCACCAATAGTTAGATCTGTAATATCAAATCAATTCAAAGGTTATCCACAATTCCAAGAGATATTAAAAATATTTAAATGAGATGAATAAAAATAAAACAATATTACAATAATTAAAAATCTATCAAAATACCTGTAATTCCTTGAATTGAATTGTCTACCCAACCAGGAAACGGATGTTTAATCGCGGAAAAAATTATACTTGGCCTCACTATTGCGATCGGTAAACCTGCACCATTGATCTTTATAATCTTCTCCGCGAGATTTTTTGTAAATATATATGTGTTTGGAAAAGTCTCTAAAATCTTAGATTCCACTACATTTATTAGCTCATCGTTTAGGCTATTGCACATATCTATGATCGTAGAAGGTTTTATATTTATGCTGAAATATTGTTAATAACAAAAAATAAACCGTTATATTTAAAGATATATACGAGCATAATTAAATTTACCATAGAAATTTATTATTTCAATAAACTATTTTACATATCAGGATATTTAGACTTACTCGTATATCGTTTCTTCGATCATCGATATATTTGGATTACTATAAGCAGTGCTAATGTACACGCAACTGATTAGATTTTTCATAGATTTGCATAATTCTAAAATATACAAAGGACTCTTCGTATTGGTTATGATAGCCTTTTTTAACGGTTCGTTGAATTTCACTGTAGCTGCTACGTGAAATACTATGTTTACTCTCTCTATTAGTAAATTTTTATCGCTCGAGGATAGGCCTAAGTCTGGCAAGGTTATGTCCCCTTTTATCAAATGAATCTTACTTAAAATTCCTGGATCCTTTTTTCGTATTTCATCAAATAACTGAAAAGCACATCGGTTACAGCATTATTACAAAATTGAATATTTTCGGGAAAATATATTTACAACTCGTTTGTATCTCAAATATAAATTTAATCTACGTATTTCTCGTATTTTCCGAGATTTGAAAACATTCTCAATGCAATTTTTCCATTGCTACTGATCTTATCTCTCGTTTCATTTCGATATTATTAATTAACATTACATCGATACGATATTTACGCTATTTTCCAAAAGATGTTTGAATCGTTGTTCAATGGATACATTCTTCTTGGGTCGGATGAGGATGTAGATTGCGGAGATACGGGAACAAGAGTGCAGCAATTTTTCCACAATAGCTTTCCCTAAATAACCAGTGGCCCCGGTCACGAATATTACAGAGTTCGCCAGGAATCCTTCGATAGATCGTTCTTCGCTTTCTCGATCGTTTCCTGAATTAATCGCTGCGTTCATCCTTTCCATTTTCTCGTCTCTAAACTCTACGTATAACGAAATAATGAAAATAATTAATTTTCTTATTCTTATCTCGTGCAATCATTGCCAATATTCTTTAAATTTATCGAAGGATAAATTTAATTTAATTCTATTTTAAATATTCAATTGATTTTTGAGAATTAAACCTAACGATCTAAAATCTCTCGTAGAGAATAATTTTATTAAGCTAATTAATAATTATAAAAATTTTCACCTTCGAAAAATCTAATTCTAAAGATCAAAATAAACATAGAAATTGGGATAGAAAAATTTATTCATTTAAATTCACAAGCAATGTAATCAAATGAAACGAGATGAAAATGGTGATGAGGATGATGTGACGTTTCATCGTATTTCGACGTATTTCACTTTATCCAACCTGAATACATTTAATTCGATTTAAGATTTAAGATTTCTGACTTTAGAATCGATATTTTGATCTTTAGCAATATCGACAATATTTCACGTAAGATTGCACAATGAAGTTTTAGTTTAATTTCATCTTCTTAGTTCTATCACAACTGTACAATAATATCGAATTCATAGGATTATTTTACACAGATTATGTACCGAAATCTTTCCGATCGTTGTCAAACGAAATTTTCAATTTTTTCCAAAGTGAAAAAAATTTCACTCCATCTCACAGACCGAGTTTACTTAACTTTGGAACATTTCGTTCTAACTGTTAATCCAGGATATAGGTGTGTAAAGGCACTTTATTATTTTATATAATCACGAATAATTTATATCGTAAGTACGAAAGAAAGCCTCGATGGTATAGTTCATCGATTGGTCGTGTTCTAGAAAAAGAGTCTCGTGTCAAGGCGCATGAATGCCATTTTGTTTTTTGCCATTTCGTAAAAAGCGAGGTGAAAATTGTATTTTTGAATGAATTACAACATTGGGCCTACACCTAAGATCGATATTCCGAAAATTTAGACGATGAATATGATAAGTAAAATTAAAACGAATCGCAATAATTAATTTTCACGTGTTATTCGATGTGTTATCCTGTTTACAAATTGTTACCTTTATTGTTAATTATGGAAATAATTATGGAAATAAGAAGTAAATGGAGTCGAGAGAAAAAATTTTATGTTTTGATTAATTATCAAACGAGCTCGAACAAGTATCGCTCGAAGCAATTAAAACTATCGAAAAAAATTAAACTTAAACGAGAGACGCGAAGAAGCCACGATAATGGATCGAGCAATGGAGGAAATTAATATTTTCCATACTTTTCGTTGTTGTCTTTGCTTTAAAAAGCTTTGGATTAAAAGAAATACTTACAAAATACTCGAAAATCGATGGAGATGCTATTTAATTCGGGCGAATTAATGATTAACCAAACGTGTGTGTATATCTACGTTAAAAGTCTAATTTGCACGCAGAATTTTAATATAAACGAATAACAATTATTTCACGATAAATAAAATATCTATTTTACGCAAACGTAATACCGTTTTTTCTATCGTTTGTATACGTTCTACCGTTTCTCTTACTTAAATTCGAAAATTTTCATCCTCATTTACAAACTGTATGGATACATTTTCAATCACAAGGATGCGCAATAATTTTTATATACGTTCTTCAATTTTCACATGATATTAAATGGTATTAAATTTAAATAATCCCGGACTGAATGTCTCACGTTGGAAGAATCGGTCGAGACTGATTTGTCGAACGATCCGAATCGATTTAAATAGTGATTCAAGCACTAATCTCATTATTAGGAAGGGATAGAATACAAAAGCAAAAGAGTATAAAGGGAGGATAAGAAGGCGAAAAAGTGTAATAAATGAAAAACAAAAGTATTATTGAAATGTTTATCGAGCGATAAAAATATGTGTCCAAACACGTGAACAATTTATTATTGTGTTTTCGTTTCAAATCGATAGATCTCGCTCAACTCGTTAGATCTATTATTTTTAAAAGTAAAATTTAAGTTTGCTCTACGGATAATCTGATTTTGATTAAGATTATTATCCT